TTCAGTTTTTAAGCTAGGGTGTTAGGAGTTGTTTTTTAACAATGTTATCATGCAGCAGCTTCTTGCCTTTCCATCCACATTTCATTATGCAGTTTCTAGGGAGTTGTGGGTGTTTTCCAGGGTGTTTCATCTGCGTCCCCCCTCCACTTTATTACAATATCCAGTTGCTAGTTGTTGGGAGTTTCCAGGGTGTTGCTAAGCAGTTGCTATGGTATGAATTTTAAAAATGTACTGTACAATTGATGGGGTGTTATGGTTTCCAAGTCATGGTGGTGCTGTTGCTGTTTTCGAGCATGTTTATATGTGGGTCGGTGAGTGTTGATTTGCATTTGCTAGAAAGTATTTCTAGCATGTTGCTCTGTAGATCCTGTAGTTTTCTGAGTGGGTTTTTAATTATTATTGTATTATTTATAAATTTAATATTTACTATCTAGTGTCTGGGATGTTCTGGGATGTTCGTTTCCCACATATTGCTGTGTATTTGATAGAGTGCATTGATTTATTTAAATATGTTTTACATTACTGCAGTGGCTAAGGTGGTTTTCAGGGTGGTGCTTTGCAGCTGTTAAAATGGTTAGTTGATCAGTGTGAACAATTTCTATGCAATGTTTCATTTCATTATTTTTATTTTTAAGATTGTTATTATTCAGTTACTTGGATGTTTTAATCAGTATTACTGAACGTCAAACATGGCTTGAATCCTTATACTTTAATTAATTTTTGGAACAACATTTCATCAGGGTTATGGGTTTGTTGAAATCTCTAATTCCATTTTTCAGCTAGAGAAATAACTAATTTGTTGAAGAAAATCTGGGTGAGCATATCATAAATATGGACTGCATATTGATTGTATGGTTTTGTAGTTATACTACATATTTTGTGTTCCTGTAAGCAACTCCGTCTCCATTGGAAAACTAAAACTGATTTATGATTTATGTTTGTCCGTCATCTGATTGAATCATTCCTGCTGTGCACGCTCACCTCTCGGTACTGTTAACCCGACACACAAATGATTTCCTTTGCTGCCATGCCAATGAATTATGAATGCTGTAGCATTTCTAGGTTACTGTTACATGTTTGTTTACTATGTCTCTTCATGACGGGCCAGCAATGGGTGATCCTACAATGACATGAATACAGTCTGACACTTGCATTAGGTAACGCGATATTGTACAGAAATCTCTTGGGGCAGCACGACTGCCGCAAGCTAGTAACAAGCAAACAAACTTTTAACATTTTAACTCTCCGTACTGTAAATCGTCAGCTTGTCAAAGAAACCAAGCATCCCTCTCTCGAACCAACCGAAAAAACATAGAAATGTATAAAACCTCTGAAATGTAAAAAAAGACATCTGTAAAAAATGGCCCGGCCCCTTCCAGCCCAAAGACTCTGAGGAACCTCTCTTATTAAAACTATAGGACAAATGATAAGGCACAACAAGCCGATATTGAACAACAGAATACATTTTACATTCACTGCATCACAAAGCATTTCACACATCAAAAATGCAACCAATTATCAATAGCTTTCCACTGAAATGGTGCCGGTGCCAGAGTTTTCCCACAAAATATTGACTGTTTTCAGCAGTGGTGATGATAAGAAATGTTTCTTGAAAACCAAATCAGTGTATGGAATGATTTCTGAAGGATCCTATGACACTGAAGTCTGCCGTAATTATTCTGAAAATTCAACTTTTGCTATTATATAACATCATCTATGGGAAAACAGTCCTGAGTGTGTCAATGGGCAGTGGATTAAAGATTGAGCAATGTTCTAAGACCTCAATGTTTCATTAGGAGCCATGAGTAGTTGACAAATAGCCAGTAAATTATTATCTCTTTTTTTTGGTAAAACAATTTTTGATGAAAAGATTCTGATGTTTGAGAATTTATAATGGGTCATTTCTTTCACTTAGTTTTTTTTTTTTTTTTTTTACTATTGCCCTTATTCCTCAGGTACAAGCGGATATGGCCATTTGATTCTTTTTAGCTTGAGACTTCCCGTTCCATTCACTTCCATTCATTTCTTGATGTTAAAATCAGCTCTTACAGCTGCTTGATGTTTTCTTATTATGTTATTCTACTTTGTCTGGATAGTCATGAACACTTGTTTATAGAGCAAGTAATTTGACTGTTTTCTGCTGTTTATTTAAGGGTGTAGGTTTGCTCTTGATATTGGTGGGGATGTACATCCCCAAAAAGGTTTTAAACGCATAATAATACAAGTACCAATAATACAAGTTAATGAAGCACCTCAATTTGGCTTTGAGGAGGTATGAATATACAGAAATTTAGAGAGGCATGTGACGCAAGTTTTATCCCTGCTATATATTATACGTGTCTATGGATTTAACCCTTTGAGCACATCTAGGTCACAAGGGTTGACAGAGCATTATTTTATTTTGAAGGCGTTTAAATTATGGGTGGGGACATTTCAGTAATATGTGTATATTGGTAGAGACACCCTCCATCCATGTCCTTTCTAAGACGTTTATTAGACGTATTTAGACGTTTCGTTTATTATTCCTAGTCATTTCTCCCATAGGCAACTGAATCGGAAGTTCTAAAACAATCAAAAAACAAGCACATTTCCTCATTGAAGAATATAGTCAATACCGTAAAAATGTCCTATGGTGTGACGGAGCAAAAAAAAATATTTTATTTAATTTTTATTTAAATTTTATTTATTTAATTTTTATTTAAAATATAGGATTGTTTTCGCTATGACTTGTTAGACATTTTCAGTAAACAAGGTTGTTAAACCAAAGGTCAACAAAGCTTAACAATTTTATAGTGGTTACATAAAAGAAAAATGCATAAACAGTTCTGGGATAAAAACTTAACAGGTGCACATCATGGGCTTAACAGGGGGCTTCAGTCACATGATTTTGAATGGAAGTGAAGTTTCACACCCTAATTTTGAGAGGAGCACGTAATATGATTTGATCGCAGCTGGTCTCTCATCTTTAATCCCTAGTAAACCAATCGGATTATTCTAAACTCACTATAAGTAGCCCATCTACCTTATCTTCATTTTTTTGATGAATCCCCTCATCCTCCCCCTTTTCCTCCTTTACCAGGGGAAGCTCTTGAGAACTACCTGTTTTTGTTTCCTCTTACATGCTCATTGACCAGGCAGGAGCCCTGGGCTTAATAATCTCCGAGCTCATGGTTCTCTTCAACATGCCGAACCTGCTGCTGTTATTAGCAAGCAATATCTAAGTGTAAGCTTAGTTTCAAGTTGGTTAGAAGTTTTCAGTGGAATAGGCTGATTTGAAATCAACCTAAAGTGTCACACCAGAGGACATTTGTTTTTAGTGAAGTTTTTTTAAACTAATTTCGAGAGAAGCACGTGATTTGATTGACTGCAGCTGGCCTCCCATCTACACTCATTAGTTAGTCAATCAGATCTATCCTAACTCACTATAAGTAGCCTAGCTAGATTTACTCCCTTATCTTCGTTTTTCGACGAAACCCCCCATCCACCCCTTTCTCCTCCTTTCCTCCTTTAAAAAAGGGGAGCTCTCGAGAACCACCTGATCTCGTACTCCCCTCACATGCTCTATGGACCTGGCGGGAGCCCTGGGCTCAACTATCTCCGAGCTCAGGGTTCTCTCCTGGGACAGCATGCCAAACCTGCTAACAGTTGTCAAGCAATATCTAAGTGTGAACTCTTGAAGAAATATATGGATAGAGAAATGCCATTTACTAAAACAGCCACTTGTAAAATTAGGCCTGAGGTATTTATTAATGATTTTAGGATTTTACAAACAGTAAAAGTTTTGAGATTTAACTAGAAATTTTATTACAGCATAAATAAAAAGAGGTCCATGGAATATAAAGAAATGTTTAACCATTTACTGCATTTGAAATGATGACAGTACTAATTATATTCATTTTTGAATTAATTCAAAATGCAACGTCACATTATCTTTTTAATTCTCATAATGCCAATAGCCATTGACTTGGATTGTCAAAAATCAAGCCCCACTATTTAAGCTAAAACAATCTCCTTTAATGCTCCACTGAAGAAAAAAGTCACCTAAATCTTGGATGACCTGAGGGTGAGTAAATAAACAGCCCAACCTGTTTGATTTGAAGTTAACTATCCTTATAAAACGCCTTTGTGTTTCATCAAATTATCAAAGAGTGTGACAACACTGGCAGCGGCACCATGATGGTGGAAAAGAAGGATATGTTGACTTTGCAAGATTCACAGTACCTTACATGCTCATCTTCAAGACTCTCTGTCCCTGAAAAATTCTAATAATCACAGGCAATGTAAACATTTATAACATGTGTGTATGTATATATATATATATATATACCATCTCAACACTGCATATATCTGTGTTGCAACATCAATCATCCGCAAACGAAGCTTATGAGATGCAGTCAATGTAATATGCTTTCAGGTGTCATGACAGTTTACTAAAAACGATGTTTTAACCTATGGCATCAAGACACTGCCTGTGATGAGACGACGTGAAGTCACTCGATGGTTTTCCTCCTCTGGACCTCGCGAAGACTCTAATACTGTCGACTTGTGCTGTTAAAACCATCGGTTAAGATTCTGTACAAAATGTACAACATAGAAATACATAGAGTTTAGATTATTACAATGAGGCCTACAAAATAAAAACGACCACAAATTGTGTCCAGTATTGCAGGCGGAGCCGTCTCTATCAGTTTCTATCAACCATGGCCCAATCAGAAACTGCTTTGCGTCTTACATCATCACATCATGGCCGTTTACAACATACATAATAAAGCTATCAAAACAAAAGGTTCCAAAATCTTTCTATAAAGGATTTTTTTGTTCTTTTGTTTCTCTACAACAATGTCAGTTAATATTTACAAGCCCTAAAAATAATTTAATATTCATCGTAATCATACACGCTTTCTACACAATGTAGGCAGACCTAGTTCTTGGGCAGAGCACAATGTGTGCTGATTGGCTAACAGTCGCTAAGGAGGAGGAGTATGGAGGAAGGGGCGAGGTCACAGAGAGGAGGTGGTGGAGTCCACGATCTCTCTCCCGTTGCAGACCGTTGGAACGTAGTGGGCACTCACAGATGCTTTGAAAAGAAACAGCAAAAGAGTAATTAGATGGATGTTAAAAAGTTATAGCATTTTATCTCATGCTTCTTTTTAAATTATTTACATAGAATTCTTCAAACAGACTTTTCAAAATGTAAATTACTGAAATATTTTCTTTGATTTGAGAAAACAAATACATTTTTACATAATCGTGAAGTAAATATTTTAGCTTACACAACTGGTTACTCAAAAGTCTTATTCAGGCCATTTCAGTATTATTTTTTTTTTTTAGACCTTATTTCAGCTACTTCTTTTCCCAAAACCTACTAACCTCGCAAAATTTTTTTTTTCTAAAAAAAATCGAAGCATGTACATCAATATTTCTTACATATCATTGTAGCACAGTTTGTGCTGAATACAAAAAAATACAAATACAAAAAATTCCATGTTGGCCAATACTATGTAATAAGTAGCTGAAATAAGCACAAATATCGGGGCATGTCAAAACAGGGGCCCCAAAATCACCACAGACCATACATACATAGTTATTTTTTTATTAAAATAAATATCTAAATCAATATAGTAAATACTATTGTAATGCAGTTAATGTTTTTTAGATTACCCATGTAAAAAATATATACATTTATTAGTAAAATATCATAATAAGGTTGAATAAGTATGGTTATATATATATATATATATATATATATATATATATATATATATATATATATATATATATATTATCTTTGCCATGTTGACAATAATATTTAACTAGATATTTTCAAGACACTTCTATACTGCTTAAAGTGACATTTAAAGGCTTAACTAGGTTAATTAGGTTACTAGGCAGGTTAGGGTAGTTAGCCAGGTTATTGGATAACGATGATTTGTTTTGTAGACTATCAAAACAATATATATAGCTTAAAAAGGCTAATAATATTGACCTTAAAATGGTTTTCAAAAAAAAAAAAAAAAAAACTTAAATATAATTTGGGAGATATTTAAAAAAGAAAAAAAATATATAATCAAAGGGGTGGTAAATAATTCTGACTTCAACTGTACATATATAAAGTACACAGCATATATGAGGACACCCTCCGCAAATCTCTCATTTACATTAATATATGTATTTACTGTACAGTAGATTAGTCAGTACTGAAGCCAAATCTGAAGGTTATCTAACAAAATAACTTATAATAATAGCTTAAAAATTAGAAGGCCAAATTTATATGTTAGGTAAAAATATTAAATAACATTTTTAAAAACAGCAAAAATCAAGTGAAACAAAAATATATATAGAAAACAATTGTTGAAATGTTGTAGTTTGTAATTTTTTTTGCAATATTTTGCATGAATTCAAATGTAGTATCTATTTCTAAAGATGTTCTGTGACTGAAAGCTAGTTGCATTGGAAAAAGTTAGTTTTGTCGTTAAATTGGAATCTGCACTAAAATGACAAAAACCTTTACAAAAATTCTATTGAAAACTAAAAAAAAATATTATTAGTTTATTTAATTTAAAATGACTTATTTAAGAAAGATATTTGTAAATTTATTAATTAATAAAATTAAATGTAATTCAGAAGTATTTATTTTAGTATTTTAATTGTTTTATTTTATTGATATTGTATTTTTAACTAGTCAACTAACAATAACATAGAATACCGTTGTCAAATATAACAAATATTATGAAGTTGTTAACAGTATTGCATTAACAAGCACGCACGTTATGTAATAATATTACTTTTCTAAGTAAGATGTGAAGTAACGCATTTAAAAAAATAAGTAATCATATTTGAGTTACTTTTTAAAAACTGTAACACGAGTTAGTTTTTAGTTTGATTAATTCGCTTTTAAAAAATACATTTCTCAATTAATTTAAGTGATCATCACTATGAATCATGCAGTCAATGAGAATGTATCCAATATTTTGGAACGCATGGAAGAAAAGGAAAAGGGGATTATCGTCTCTATGAACAATGATTTTACATAAGACAAAAAGTACAAAAGTAGCAAACACATGGCTTTAAACTTGCAATATTCTATATTGGGCATGTATAGCTCTAGGGTCAGAAAGCTCTCAGATACCTTTATCCCCAAAAATTATTTCAAAGGTAAATGACTTTTTTTTATGTTAATTGCAAGCCTCAGCTAGATAATAAAAAGTAACACAAAAGTAACTTAAAAGTAAGGTAAGGCCTTACTAGCCATAAAAAGTAACTGAGAAACTCAATATTGTCATGCATTACTTTCTAAAGTAACTTTCCACAACACTTTATTTGTTTCAATTTTAATAAATATTCATAAACTAAACTGTCAGGTTAAGACCTTTTAGAACATCTTTTAAAATCCAAAATTGCTCATTTTGACATATAGTAGGCAGTACACATCATTTATCAAGCTATTCTGTGCATAATAATAATAAAAACAAATAAATACTACATACAGTATGCAAGCTTTATACTGCAGCGATAATAACAGTTGTTAGAATGTGACAGAGAACACAGCCAGGGTTACATGTGGCCAACTTGACTTAAAAGGCAGCACAAACTTTTCAAAAAGTTCCCAGACATGCTTTCCCCCCGATTTGATTCTCCTCTCATCACCTTCCTCCCCCTGGTTTCTCTGCTAGCGAGTGACTGTATGTGATCTCTGCTCTGCTGTGTCTTCTCTTCTTTGCAGTGTCTGTCATGTTATTTATTAGATGGATAAAATGTAAATAAAGATGAAACTGTTTACCTGATCTGTTTTTGTGCTCGTGAATAATGCATCAGAGCAGAAGCGGGTTTCTGTGCACACATGGGCTTATTAGAACGGCCGCACTTTTCCTCTGGGCTCTTACACAACTGTTCTGTGTGACAATGCTGACATTAAAATCCTCTGTGTAAATTGGCATATCAAAGGGCTGTAATCACTGCAAACCGCCTGTGTAAGCACTGCAGAAAGTTCAGCATTGACATCCAGTTGGCCTTGCGTGTCACATGTATTCAGAGCACAAGTGAACTGCTTTGCAGGGTGTTTTTCAATTTGTGCTGTTTTCAGTGTTTTTTGCGACTCGTGCCATTATGGCTTGCAGTTTTGCATGCTTATGAAGCAAGTATGTAATATAGTTTATCATCACATTAGATTCCCATTTTACCATAACCCTGAAGATGCAATGTGAAAGACACAGCCGTAATGTTGATGCATTGATGGTTGCTTAAGTGTTGTTGTAGGGTTGCTATGGCGTTGTAAGGTTATTGAGAGGTTGATTTGGTGCTAGAATGCCATCTGAAATGTTCAATTCTATAAATAAACCCTATTTACATACACTACCTGACAAAAGTCTTGTCGTCAATCTCAGTCGTAAGAGCAACAAATAGTAACTTGATTTCTAGTTGATCATTTGGAAAAGTGGCAGAAGGTAGATTTTTCTGATGCATCCTCTGCTGAGCTGCTTCCCAATCATCACAAACACTGCAGAAGATTTATGGAAACCCGCATGGACCCAAGATTCTCACAGAAATCAGTCAAGTTTAATGAAGGAAAAAGGGCGAAGGGGTTACATTCAGTATGAGGGCGTGCGAGAGTTCTACAGAGTGGATGGCAACATCAACAGCCTGAGGTATCAAGACATTCTGTGCTGCCCGTTACATTACAAACCACAGAAGAGGGCAAATTCTTCAGCAGGATAGCGCTCCTTCTCATACTTCAGCCTCTACATCAAAGCCCTTGAAAGCAAAGAAGATCAAGGTGCTCAAGGATTGGCCAGCCCAGTCACCAGATTTAAACATTATTGAGCGAAAGATGAAGTAGGAGGCATTAAAGATGAATCCAAAAAATCTTGATGAACTCTGGGAGTCCTGTAAGAACGCTTTCTTTGCCATTACATATGACTTTATTAAGTTATTTGAGTCATTGCAGAGATGTATGGATGCAGTCCTCAAAGCTCATGGGAGTCATACACAATATTCATTCTTTTTCCACTGCACCATGACTTTATATTTTATACTGGACATTATTTCTGTTAAGTTACAAGACTTTTGTCTAAAGCAAAGTCAGACCTTACTGTCCTAATTAAATAATTAAAAATAATATCATATTTTATTTTGGTGAAATGAGTGTAATCTAGAGGCCTTTGCCTTTCATGTAAGCCACTTCTGATACCAAATGATCAACTAGACGTCAAGTTATTATTTGTTGTTCCTATAACTTGGATAGGGGACAAGACTTTAGTCATGTAGTTTAGATTCCATCCAATATTGTATCTATCAATTTATTTATTATTCAAACTATACCGCTCTCTAGTCAACATCCACTGTTCTCTTGTTCCATGCATCCATTCGTCCATCCATTCAACCATTTTTCTTTTTACCCATCCATCTATCCATCTGTTGATACATCTGTCAAGTGTTGTTTCCATCTATCTATATTTTTTATCCAATTTTTATTCTTATTCATCAGTCTCTATTTGGTTCTTTCCCATCATCCAATTATGCATCCAAGTACCTGTACTTCCGTCAGTTGTTGTTTCCATCTATCTATGTTTCTTTTTTATCCATTTTTTTATTTTTATTCATTAATCTCTGTTTGGTTTTTTCCCTTCATCCGTTTACACAGCCATCTATCCATTTGCTGATCTTATATTCGTACATTCCTCATCTATTCATTTTTTTCTTCTATCCATCCATCCATCCATCCATCCATTATTTGCATGTTTATAATGGGAAACATGAAAAACTTGTTCGCTTCAATAGTGATTTCCATTCATTCATTTTTCTTTGGTTCTTTTAATCCATCCATCTGCTGTTTTTTCTTCCCCCTTCTATCCATCATCTATACATCCATTCATCTACTGTTTTTTTCTGCCATCCATCCATCTATTGACCAATGTATCAATTTAGAAAATAAAATAGATATCTATTCATCAATCCCAATTTTTTCCATCCATCATCCATCCATCCATCCATCCATCCATCTATTTACCAATGTATCAATTTAGAAAATGAAATAGATATCTATTCATCAGTCTCTATTTTTTCCATCCATCCATCCATCATACATCCATCCATCCATCTATTGACCAATGTATCAATCTAGAAAGTAAAATAGATATATTCATCAGTCCCTATTTTTTCCATCCATCCATCATCCATCCATCCATCCATCTATTGACCAATGTATCAATTTAGAAAATAAAATAGATATCTATTCATCAATCCCAATTTTTTCCATCCATCATCCATCCATCCATCCATCCATCCATCTATTTACCAATGTATCAATTTAGAAAATGAAATAGATATCTATTCATCAGTCTCTATTTTTTCCATCCATCCATCCATCATACATCCATCCATCCATCTATTGACCAATGTATCAATCTAGAAAGTAAAATAGATATCTATTCATCAGTCCCTATTTTTTCCATCCATCCATCATCCATCCATCCATCCATCCATCTATTGACCAATGTATCAATCTAGAAAGTAAAATAGATATCTATTCATCAGTCTCTATTTTTTTCCCATCCATCCATCCATCCATCCATCCATCCATCCATCCATCCATCCATCCATCCATCCATCTATTTATCAATGTATCAATTTAGAAAGTAAAATAGATATCTATTCATCAGTCTCTATTTTTTCCATCCATCCATCCATCCATCCATCCATCCATCCATCCATCATCCATCCATCCATGCATCCATAAATATTTTCTTCCATACATTCATCCATCCATCCATCCATCCATCCATCTATTGATCCATTTATCCATTTAAAAGGTAAGATAGATATCCATTCATCAGTCTCTATTTGGTTCTTTCCATCCATCCATCTATCCATCCAACCATTCATATTATTCATTATTTGTATATTTATAGTGGAAACATGAAAAACTCTTTCGCTTCATTAGTTATTTCCATTTACCAGTTTCTTTGGTTTTTTCAATCCATCTATCTGCTGTTCTTTTCTTTCACCTTTCTACCATCCATCAATCATATGATTAATATAATTTGTATATTTATAGTGGGAAACAAATGAACAACTATTTCTTTTTCTTTGGTTCTTTCCATCCATCCATCCATCCATCCATCCATCCATCCATCCATCCATCCATCCATCTACAGTTCTTTTCTTCCATCCATCCATCCATCCATCCATCCATCCATCCATCCATCCACTGTTATTTTCTTCCATCCGTCTATTCATCAAAACATCAATACATTTTGAACACTTAAAAATTCACTTTTTAAATCTTTATATCTAATATATCTGTTTGTTTGACTGTAGATCTCACCATGGGACGCATAGCTAGTTGCTGGCCCGCTCACGCTGAACCGGTTCATGTTTAACCGATGACTGGTGACGTTCTTCTGAGGCTGGAACATGATGATGTGGACCTTGGGGGCAAACATGCAGCCCAACACCACAAATCCGCTTAGACTAACAGATATACACATGGTTGTGGTTTGAACCTGAGAAAGAGAGACAGAGAGAAAAACACAATTCATTTCTTATCCTTCATTGTCTCTACAGTGACTCCCATTCATTCCGATAATCAGAAGCTATTAGTCGTAACTATCAAGATCCCCTTGGCTAATAAAGAGGTAGAGCAAGGGGGTATAATAACAGTGACATTTAGCGAAGTGCTGCGTAAATAGCATTTGATTAGAAGTAGCTGAATGTCTCCCATTAGGAACGTAATTTTCCTCCCTCTAGTTTTAGATCTTCATGTTGCTCCCTATGGTCCCCCGTCAAGGCACGCTGCTGTGAGCCAATGGATAAGAGGACAGATATAACGCTAAACAGAACAGGAATATCTCAACCCCAAGGGAACCTAGACCTTTACAAACAACTCAAGGATGATCCGCTTAAAGCATGATTTCACAGAGAGCCAAATTAACCGTGTGATCAGTTTCAGACCTTTATCCCATTATGCTTTATCGTCAGGTTTAAATAAGTTTCCCGTGTGTATGCACATGTACTGATAAAAATATGCAGACTGATAAGCTTTTCTATTAGTCTTGCTCATATATTTCTGCAATGGAATCAGCGTGAGCCATCTACAAAGCTGTCCTTATTCAATTGTGTTCTGCTTGGTTGGTTCGTGGCTCTGCAAGCGTTTCACTTGGGTTTCTATATCTTTCCACTATCCTGCGGTTCTACAGACATCAGCATTCTGAGCGAGTGGTCTCTGAGGGCCGGGTCTCTTGAGCAAAGAGCCTCTGTTCGCACTTCATTGACTGTGGCCTGGTAAGACTCATTTTCGTCACTCTCCCGGCAAGAATTCCTCCCTGCGTCAGCGGGCCATCTATGTGCCTCTAACCAGTCTGGTCCTACAGCGCTGTTTGAGTACTTCAGCTTTGAGATGGATTCGCTGGGTGTGGTGAATGACAAACTCAGTTAAAGAGATGCTCAGGCACTGTCACACTGAATCACTCTATGCGATATATTTGCTGCATCAATGAGCTATTGAGAAGTTGTCTGTTGAGGCTATGTGTTTGCTGAAGATTTAAATTTGTCAACAGATTTCTATCTGACAGTTCTGCTTACTTGGTGTAATTCCTAATACACGTAACAGCTATCCGAACAGCAGGCGTCTTGCATTCCCACAAGCACGGATACAAGACAACATTGTCTGTTTTGCATGTTAATGGCTTTTTTTCTGGTTCCACTCTTCAGCTCAGATCACTTTGATTCGTTTTCGCACAAATAGATTAAATCTTCATTTAGCTTCAGGTACTGTAATTTGATCTGAGCGGTGTTTCTGTTTACGTCAAACAGTACTGGGCAAAATTGTGAAGAACTGGTTACAAGAGTTGGAAGTTTTATTGATTTATCCACACCCCAAAGGGAGACTCATTCATAATAATTTGTACAGTGACAAGTATTATTAGGTAAATTCTGGCATTATTTCACTGCAGAACACATTAATGTCGACATTTAGGTTTTTCTCTTTATCTGACCCATTTATGTCTGGTCTTGGAATATCTAATAATAAACTGATGAGTTGATTCAGATGTTTTGAAAAGGAGGAGCTGGGAAATGTGTAGTGTTGGTGTGCCTCTAGGAAAACCCGAAGTGACTAGACCCTTTCTTTGCATTTAGCTAATTCAACCCTAATCGTACAAACTTGAGCCAGTTAATCACTAGATCCTTAGGTGTACTCACACTAGGTTTAGTTGCCATGAACCATGCTAATGCATGACTGTATCCCCTTCCCTCTCCTCCGATGGCCTGCACTCACACTGCATTTTCCTTCTGACCCTGAGCACGCTCCATCGACTGTTCAGTTTAGGAGGATGAGAAGCGATCTCACTCAGCACAGTGGGGATTGCTTTATAACGTTTTAGTCATTTGGGATGCAGTGACACACATTTAAATATTTTGCAGAACAGATCCACAACTTTTGACGCTTATAAACTATCATAAGTCATCGTGCTGCATGTATTAGGATGTTTTGCTGAAGGTGCAGCTGATGTACAGCGAGCGGTTTGCGTCTATAATAAACTGACAGCTTGTCTTCATTGAAAAGTAAGAATGATTAATAAATCCATATCAAACTGTCCCTTAATAGTGACGTTGCATTTTCAGTTTCGGGCTCAGGCACACTTTTTCACTCACATTACAAGCATACCGTGCCAAAGCTTAACCGAACCGCACTTTGCCACACTTTGTACAACCAGGCCAGGCCAGCCAGCTGAACCGTGCCTGGGCCCAATTCTGAGCTCTCACACTTGTCCATCTAACCAGGAAATGTGCCTGGGCATGGTTCGGATAGCCTAGTGTGGGTGCACCCTTAGAGGGAAGTGTTTTGGAGCTGGTTAGAGCTAAAATCTGAAGGACTGTTGCCTAAACTATATTTGAACCCTCTGACTTCAGTGTATAGACCAAAAAACAAAACACTGGATCAATTTTCAAATGACCTTCTTTTGTGTTTGACAGAAAGTGTAGGTCATACAAGTTTGGAACAACATGAAGGTTTGAAAATGGTGAAGGAATTGTATTTTGGGGTAGTTAATATCTTTTTAAAGTTACACTTAGTGAAGTTTATTTATAAACTAATTTTGAGAGGATCACATGCTTTTAATTGAACGCAGCTGGACCGGCATTAGCCAATTCATGATTCACCAATCAGACGACCCATACCACAGCCATCTTCGTTTTGAAGAATCCCCCCTTCCACTCCTACTCCTCCTCCTTTCCTAGACGGGTGGCATAGTGGCCCAGTGGTTAGCACTGTTGCCTTACAGCAAGAACGTCACTGGTTCAAGCTAGTCAACGTTCCTGTGCAGAGTTTACATATTCTCCCAATGCTCGCACAGGTTTCCCCTGGTACCCCGGCTTCCTCCCACCGTCCAGAAACATGCAACTTAAGCTAATTGACTAATTCAAATGAGCACCATAAGCATGCTACTAGTAAGTAGTTATCTATTTATAGCAATCCCTATTTTTTCATTAACTACAACAGCAGGGGAGTTTCAAGATCAACCTGAGCTCAAACTCCCCTCTCACTCTGCAACGGGAGGGAGCCCTGGCCTCGAGGATCTTATGAGATCAGGGCACTTTCCCGGGACAGCATGCCAAACATGCTTTATAATCAATCATCAACTAAGTTTGAACTCTTGAATTGCAATTATATGAACTTTTTAAAGGGCCATTGCAGAAGGGTCTAGATGTAAACCAGGAGCAGTTGCAAGGTGAACTGCATGTAATGCTTTAATGCACACACAACCCCGCCCCTAATCCTACCCCTCACAGTGAGGTCACTAATTCCATTTAGTGAATTGTGTCTGACATTACATGTCTGAGATAACAAAACCAAGTCTGCATCTAGATACTATTGGGGGCCATTCACATATCACATGTGTGGAAGGCACACCGCTTCCAGTGTTTAGGTGCTCTGCATTTAGGTAATTTGCTTACCATCATTACTGAAATGTGTATTTTTCATACAAAATGTGAAGCTGATTGATTGGTTCTTGTCATGATGTGTGGTGTGCTTCTAAATATCTAAAAAGTTGAGTCTAAAAAAGTGAGTGTGCATCATTGCCACAAGTTTTCATTAGAATTGATAAACTTGAGCATGCAAAAGGTGTAATATGTGAACTTGGCTCCAGGCCCTTTTCCCACCCTGGCCCCCCTCTCTGTAAATAATGCCAAAAATAAATTGAATTTATAGTGTTAGACGTACCCTGTAATCACTGGACGTGACGTAGAAGATTGGCAGGAAGGCCAGCCAGATGATGCATGTGGTGTACATGGTGAACCCGATGAACTTAGCCTCATTGAAGTTCTCCGGACACTTGCGGGTCTTGAAGGCATAGACTGTGCAGAGTACCACCAGAACCACATCGTAGCTCAGCGACATCAGCATGCTAGAGTCCCTTACATTGCACTTCAAAATGACAGTCTGGCGTTTCTCTGGCGTGGTGAACCGCCGCGTACCGGGCACTTCCACCAGCAGCCATACCGACACCAGCAGGAGCTGAACAGATATCAGCGACAGACAGATGAAAACCTGTGAGCTGGGACTGATGAAGCGTGGTCGCTGAGCCCCACCCTCCTTCACACCGCTGAAGATTCGAGCGATTCGATTGGTTTTCGTAAGCAAGGCAGAGTAACACACTGCAAATGAGGTACCGAGGCCTAACCTTCGCAATGTGCACACAATAGGTGATGGCTTTGCAATGAATATGAAAGTCATGACGTAGGACATGAAGACTCCCAGCAGAAGGATATAGCACAGTTCACGACCGGACGCCTTGACCAGTGGTGTGTCATTGTGCCGAATGAAGACGATGAACACCATTAAAGTACAGATGAAGCCAACGCATGCAATCGAGATTGGTCCAATGGCCCAAGCATCCTCCCACATGATGTAGTCCTCCGGAAGGTCATAGCACCCAGTCAGATCAGGACGGGGCCACTGACCTGGTGCACAGGGCATGCAGGTAAACTCATCCGGAAGGTATTCGTAAGGCTCGCAGGGAGTACAAATCCAGCAACAGTATTCACCTGCTTGCATCTTCTTCATTTCGTTTGGAGCACAAGGGTCGCTGCATTGAGATGTGGGCACATCAGCTCCCCTTGGCCAGCCAATCAAGCCTTCATTTAGGGATAGACTCTCTGCCCATTCTCCTACTTGTACATAAGCAAACTTGTCACTTCCTGGCACGCTCTGGTAATTGAAGATGTTGTAGCGGCCCACTCCGTCTCCATACGCATCAAACTTGACTTGACTCTCTAAGCCGGCAGGGGAGAATGGAGCTGGAGAGAGTACGAGAAAGAGGGGGGAGAAGTTAATTCACACATTTCAAGCGGGACGAAACACATTATTAACTCAAGAACAGATAGTTCCCTTTATGACTGTCTTTGGTTATTATCAGTAAGAAAGTAAACGGCTGCGGGCTCATGAAGCAATTATGGTAGGTAAAGAAAAGTATCATCAAGCCTCTAAACAGAATGACTACACAATGGCATCGGAGCGGAGAACGTACTGAGTGTGTGATGAGGAATCGGGCGTCTTTCTGTCAGAGTTTATGTGCTAGGTATTGGTTTTATCGCTCATATGAAGTCTCCCACACACTTCTGTACTGTAGCTCGGGGCTCTGGGAGTAAGCGTCCTTGGTCAGCACATTGCAAAAATAAGACACGGGCAAATGAGCACAGAGGAGCTGATGCTTCTGTCTCTCATTTTGGCCTAAGGGAGAATGATATATTGTGAACCGAGAGAAAAGACGAGAAGAAAATGTCCCTCTAGGGATGATGGTGAAACTGTCACTACTGTTTGTGCAAGTGATTATTTTTCTATAGTGGCGAGAGAAAGAGTGCGAATTGAAGGTGCAGGGTTGTTGACGAGTTGGCAGGAAAATGTATTAGGAAAAATTTTTAATATGAAATTCACATTGTTTTGCCTATCTATCTATCTATCTATCTATCTATCTATCTATCTATCTATCTATCTATCTATCTATCTATCTATCTATCTATCTATCTATCTATCTATCTATCTATCTATCTGTCTGTCTGTCTGTCTGTCTGTCTGTCTGTCTGTCTGTCTGTCTGTCTGTCTGTCCGTCCATCCGTCCATCTGTTTGTCAATTGTTCTATCTATCTGTCTGTCCGTCCATCCGTCAATCATCTATCGTTTTATCATTCTAATGTTTGTTAAGTCCATCAATATATCCACCCATCCATCAATCCGTCTGTCTATTGTTCAATCATTTGTTCAGTCTATCTATTTATCTATCTATCTATCTATCTATCTATCTATCTATCTATCTATCTATCTATCTATCTATCTATCTATCTATCTATCTATCTATCTATCTATCTATCTATCTATCTATCTATCTATCTATCTATCTATCTATCTATCTATCTATCTATCTACCTACCTATCTATCTATCTATCTATCTATCTATCTATCTATCTATCTATCTATCTATCTATCTATCTATCTATCTATCTATCTATCTATCTATCTATCTATCTATCTATCTATCTCTCTGTCTGTCTGTCTGTCTGTCTGTCTTTCCGTCTGTCCATCTGTTTGTCAATTGTTCTATCTATCTGTCTGTCTGTCCATCCGTCAATCATCTATCGTTTTATCATTCTAATGTTTGTTCAGTCCATCAATATATCTACCCATCCATCAATTTGTCTGTCTATTGTTCTATCATTTGTTCAGTCTATCTATCTATCTATCTATCTATCTATCTATCTATCTATCTATCTATCTATCTATCTATCTATCTATCTATCTATCTATCTATCTATCTATCTATCTATCTATCTATCTATCTATCTATCATCTATCCATCCATCCATCCATCCATCCATCCATCCATCCATCCATCTGCATCTGTTGTTCTGTCTATCCATCCATTTATCAATCCATCTCTGAAAATAGCATTGTTTAATACATCCGTATAAAATAGCGTTGTTTTATTTTTCTGATCACATACACATAGTCATTCTGTACTGTCAGGAATTTGCATGTTAAGTATTTACTTATTTTGGCCATGTTAACTACATGCAGACACACAAGCAGTATGCTACATCCAAACCTGGAGCGGTGCGTTTTCTGCTGACAGTGTAATTGCTCAGAGGGTCTCTGGGAGCTCGCTGCTGGATGATGATTCATCAGATAAGGAAAGCAGGTTAGAAGTTATGAACCCCATCATTCACAAAAATAACGTCAATGTCAACACCCATGCACTCACACACCCACTTCACACACACACACACATATGTACGCAGCTGAGGTGCAAAGAAATGCACACCGGTCTTGTTGAATCGGAGAACTTCATCGTGTGCTGGATCAAATTAACCTTCTGTGCCCTGTAGTTCATTTTTTTCAGAGCTCGTCTGTTCGTCCAGCGATTTGATGGCATGCAACGCTCTATAGCGTGTAATCATCCCTCATTGGCAGCAGATGCCAAACACACCCCTGTATTAAATAATCAGCATCTGGTAACAGGATAATTAACTGTAATATAATTACCCGTTACAAACACTAATTGCAGTTAATTAGCTTTGCGCTGAGACTCCAAGGATATGGACATACGTTTTGGGTAAATGCTTTCCATGTGGTTCAGTGGACAGAGACAGTCCGATGGATGTATGTATGTCTGTCTGTTTATCTATCCTGTTTGTCTATCTGTGTCTGTCTGTCCACTGTTCTATCTATCATTTTTTCTGCATATTGCTCTATTTTTCTAACTATATTTCATAGATTTTTGAGCAGTTGCACTGTAAAAAAGTATTTGTTGATTAACAGTTTCCACATTTTGTGATTCACAAGTGTTATGTAAAAAAAAAAGTTAGGTCTGTGCTCTGTCGATTTTTGATGTTGAAAATTCAACTCTACAGTTTAACAAAGTGACTTTTGTTGACATTTTAGTAATCTGAAATAATATAATGTATAAGAAATAATATATAGAGAAATAAATTTGAAAAAAAAAAAATTACTGGCAGTTTATTACAAGTTTTTTGTAACATTATATACAACACCAACCCAGACAATATATTACTTCAAACTAATAAAAACGTAAATATATATCACTTATTCAAACTTTTAAACGTTATAAAATGTTGGAAGAAAGATCAAGATCACATAATGCAATTCAAAAGACTATATACGCTACCTGACAAAAGTTTGCCACCTATCCAAGTTTTAGAAACAACAAATAACTTGACTTTTATTTGATCATTTGATGTCAGTAGTAGTGGCTTATATGAAAGGCAAAGACCTCTAGATTATGCTTATTTTACCAAAATAAAATATGATTATGCCTTGATTTTTAATTATTTAATTAAGACAGTAAGGTCTGACTTTGCTTAGACAAAAGCCTTGTCACTTAACAGAAATAATGTCCAGTATAAAATATAAAGTGATGGTGCAGTGGGAAAAGAGGCAATTTTGTGTATGACTCCAATGTGCTTGGATGACTGCATCCATACATCTTTGCAGTGTCTCAGATATTTTGAGTCAATGGAATGGCAAATTATGAGTTCATCAAGATTCTTTGTATTCAATGACTTCTCCTTCATCCTATCCCAGACATGCTCAATGATGTTCCTATCTGGTGACTGAGCTGGCCAATTCTGAAGCACATTGACCTTCTTTGCTTTCAGGAGCTTTGATGTAGAGGCTGAAGTATGAGAAGGAGCGCTATCCTGCTGAAGAATTTGCCTCTCCTCTGGTTTGTAATGTAAAGGGCAGCACAAATGTCTTGATACCTCAGGTTGTTGATGTTGCCATCTGCTCTGCAGATTTCTCGCATGCCCCCATACTGAATGTAACCCCAAACTATGATTTTTCATTTACCAAACTTGATTGATTTTTGTGAAAATCTTGGTTCATGCAGGTTTCAGTAGGTCTTCTGCAGTATTTGTGATGATTGGGATGCAGCTCAGCAGAGAATTCATCAGAAAAATCTACCTTCTGCCACTTGATCAACTAGAACTACCAAATGATCAACTAGAAGTCAAGTTATTATTTGTTGTTCTTACAAATGAGATTGACGACAATATTTTACAGTTAGTGTACAAAAGGAAAAATAAAAACACGAATGACAAAATACTTGTTATTAAAGCTACAGCTGTTCTTTTACAGTGTGTATTTAAGAAATAAGAGGATCATATATTAAAGAAAATATGTGAGATTGATTTAAAAAATAGCTTAAATTAGTCAAACTTTGACTTAATCCTCAAACCAATTTCAAAATCTGTTGTTTTTAATAGGCTACAAACCAGTTTTTTTAACCATGCCTCATCTCACTACAGCTGATGTTCAGTCATCCACAAAAAATAGGGTATTTATATCACATTATTTACATGCCACCATTACAATAACAGGTTATCAGTGTCAGTCAGAAATCTCGGAGCGGATCCCTGACAGATGTTTACATGTTCTGTCATGGGATGCTTTACACACAGGTACAGTAAATCAACAAATCAGGCTTGTAGTATGTGACAGTGCCTTAAAATAACTCTATTGATCTGAGCATCCAGCAAGAGCAGTTTAACCTGAGTAGAGTGCTTCCATCTATTACAGCTCGACACAAATCACTCAGACTCGTGAAGCGGAGGGACATCAACACTCACAGGCCAACTGAGGATGAACATCAATATATAATTTACCTCTCTTTCGCTTTACTGTAGGAGAAGTTGTTTACATATTATGACACATTAAGGCATAAAGAGCATTTCTCTATATGCAGCTGACTATGATTGTGGAAATGCAGGTCAGGGCTGTAATGTACTTTTTGAAGGAGAAGAACACCTTTAATAGCTCAATAGTACTTAATGCAAGATGCTACATTAGTTTTTTCACTGTTGTATAATGAAAACTCCTAAAATAACATTACATTACATTAATGATGTCATAGAAACATTTTTGGTTACACAAATAACCACACTTATAGGGGTTCAAAATGTTATCTGGATGGCTGATAATGTTTTGAATATGACAGAACAGTTCTGTCTTGTTCTCGAATCTGATTGGCTGAAAGCCGTGACTCCCGTGAGATTTTAAAGTAATATCAGTACTCATACAGCCTCTTGTGTATACTCTGCTCACACTAGTGGCAAGCAGAAGACTACAGTTTGACAAATAATGTAGCTGTTAGACAACATAATGTACTTTCGAGGCTTTTTAGGTGAGGGTTTAGTTGTTTAGATTGCAACTATGCAGTTTATTTATAAGGATAGAGTCTGTTTTAAAATATTCATCATTTCAGACATTCAGCGGGTTGGTGGC